TATGATAAAATACGTACATTTTTATCTATGCCGAAAGCGAGGGGGAAAAAAAGCGAGAGGAGAAATGAGCGGAAAAGAATTCCGCCTTTTAAGTCCTCCATTTTCTGCTCTTATTGCGGGTCTATCCATTCTCGACACGGTTTTCGTCTGAATATCCAGAGCTTTGCTCCCGCAGTCTCGCTCGTTTCCCCGTTTTTTCCCTCTTCTAACGACTGAACAGTCTGGTCGTGACAAGTATATCGACCGTTCTCTCGCCATCACCGTCTTCCTCTTATCTACGCACTCCACCCCCGTCGAAAGAAATGCCACTAATGCACGTGGTAACACCGGAATGCCGTCTCGAAACTTGTGCACCAATTCTCTCGTAGCTGCTATTTCGGCAGGGGTGAGTAGACAAACGTGTGTACCGCGTTTACTCCCAGTCATAAAAAAGTTAATATTGTAACATCGAAAATTTGATATATTGGACTAAATTCAGGAATCTAAAAATTTCTCTGCGAAAAGAACCTCACCCAAAATGGGCCATTGGCATACAACATTGAATCATATACCATTTTGTAGGTATTGTTGTGTCATCATTAGAAAAATAAGTTTAGGTTCTGGGACCGGTTCAATTACCAATCTTAATACCTATTCATTATTACCTTCACCGTCAGAATTGTCAGAAAATGATATCAAAATATCTTCAATATGCTTTGATGGTAGCTTGATTCTTGTGGTTGATCCTTTTTTCTTTCGACTAAAAAGTGCAACAAACCATGGCCGCAGGTTTGAGTCTACGCCAAACAAACTAATAAGTTTGTTCGTTTAGGAAAATGCCCTGAGCGCAAGAAAGTCTGGACGACATTATAAAATATGTTATTTTATATAAAGTTAGTAATATTTAAGTTAAATAGTGTAAAGTTTTTAGCGCCAATTAGCTAATATTACGTATGGTAATATGCGAAATTCACATCCTAGAAAATATCTTTTCCCACGTTTTTGAGACTTTGTGTGAGACTACGTTATTATTATTTCCATCAACCTCTTCTACAAATGCATATAGAAGTCAAGTGTGCGCGTTCATGGCCCAAAACCTAATAAAACGGGCAAAGTTCTTTATCTACAAACAAAACTCAAACTGTACGTGTACATTCGTCATGCACTCGTGTAGGTACACGCAAACCGCAAAAACTATAGAAGTAACCGTAGAAATCACAGCAATTAAGTTTGAATTTAAAAACTAAGCTGTATTTTGCACCGTTCAAGATCCCGTATATTACAGTTCCATCATTCGTTTCAAGTAGGATCATGTCCAAATTAGGATAACGATGCTTCATACAATCTATCGTCTAAAGTTGATTAAATCACCGATTGCTGATTATCCATTCGGCTCCCAGTCGTAATCTCTCCTCAATCGCTCGAAGCGGGGGAGAAGAAGCGCGATCTTTCTCGATTAAGTCTCAGTGTAACCAGGTTGCCAAATCGAAGAGAATCCAAGGACTCTCACGCCGGAGGTTTCTTTTTTTTTCCTTTCGCCCTCTCTGCGCGTTCTTACTTCTTCTCTCAATCTAAAATCCTCCTCGACACCACCTCGTGCATCCTTGCCTTTGTGTTACCTCGGCTACTTCCGCCAGCCTTGTACCTGTATGTACTCTTGCCCTTCCTCCGGTCATGCGATCGCTCTTACGGGGGATTTTCCAGACTGTAAATTGCAAAAGTTCTAACGCGACTTTTCACGGTATCACATCTCTAAGCCCAGCTGTTGTTTCTTCTTGTTTCAGATCCTGAGGCGGCCCCCGGGATCCCAACGCGTTCCGAGGGTAAGTTTCAGTTAATAATACAGAGGTTCATCAAGATTGACCTCTAAAGATAATCGCTTTAACGTAGATTGAATTTGGAAATTGTTCGCGGTTCTCTTAATGGGGATATGCAATTTTAAGCAAATGTACGGAGGTGGAAACGCGGAATGAATGTTAAATTATATCCATGTTATCCTGGGCATAGATTCGATTTTATTACGTAAATCTTTGACTGTAGATTCAATATTATTTTGTATAAAAAGATAATTCAAACACACTCTAGTTTGAATATGAAAAATTCTCAGCGATCTACTAATTTCGGCTCAAAGATCAATTCAGTGAGACAATCGGCGCAATCCCGACTATCTCCCGAGGCGTCCAAAGTCCGAGAAATTTGTAAAGGGCGCGGGAAAGGCCGCGATTGTTTTCCGCAGTCTGACGCGAACGCGCCTCTCGTCCGTATACTCGGCGAACACTTGATCGTATCTGAAATTTATCGAGGTAACAACAAGCAGCGCGACGCCACGGAGCGTCTCCTTCTCTCGGGGCCCTCGAAAAGTTCGCTCGTTCTTGTAAAGTGCTCGAAACAATTCCGACGCGAGTCGGCATTCGACGGCGTCGCTTTTGTATCGAGAGCGCCGGAACAGCGAAAGTTTTTGCATTCCATTATCACGCGGCGCGATTTATCCTGCGCTTGGATTATGCAACAACATTTACGTTCGTTCTTGCGTTGCGATTGTAAAGATGTTTCCGGTTAAATATAAAGGAGAGATCTGGCAGAGAAATATACTTTTCAAAGAAATTGTTGATAACTAAATTTTTATCGGTTGCTTTAATAGTAATTTAATGGTAATAATTTCTTTCGCTAAGTATATTTATCTTCCAAGCATGTCTATTTTAAGTAATTTTAATTTCAAAATTAAATTGAAATTACACTTTCCTCGAAAAATACGCTTACGTCTGTGGCTACGAGCCCCAATTTCGTACTTTTATGTAAATCACCTTCGATCGAGAACGAAATGCGAAAATTGTTGCTTTGGGCGCCAGCTCTCTCGTCGAAACGAAAGGCGCCTATTAATGTTTTTGCGAAGCCGGACCGTGAAATTTGTGGCCTAATAGTTCCTTTGATCGCACGGCGAATCACATAGATGTGTTATTAATGTCGAATTTCCATTGCATATGCATATGCATGTTAATTCTAATACGCGCGCTTCGCTATCGGGGATCACACGGGAGGGAATGACCGTATGTAATTAAACTTTCAAAAGATGTATATTAAATTAAAAAAATAAATATCGCTTTGTTGAAGTAGCGATAGCAGGCCCGAATGTTAAACGAATAGTAAACGCAATATTAAAGTGATCGTACGGCCGTGTAAAAATTTCTTAGCGCTCTATATTTACGACATATGTGTCGCATCCACAGCTGCCTAAACGAGAAATCTTCGGGGGAACATTCGCAAAATTACGTTTGCCGTCACCGACGACGCCCCTCTTCCCGCGAAGATGAATAAATTAAGAAAGGAGCTATATACTTTTGGCTTTCGACGCGGGTGAAGTCCCGTCCCGTGCGTGCTTAATTAAATTTAGCGCACTTGGCGCGGACTCGCCTTCGGCTACCATTTTCTCCCTTGATGTTCCACGACGGCGGCAGAAAATATAGTATACACCCAGCGAAGATATTATGCAAATGTTTGTCTCTCTCTCTCTTTCTCTCTCTCTCTTGCGCGCGCGCGTACTATGTGTGCAGCCCAGATGCTAAAATGATGAAAACTTAAAAATTATATCTCGCTATATTTCCGACGAACACGAAATTGTAAAGTGAGATCTTCACATTTCGTCCATCCTTAGCGCCCACGATACTTGCCATCTCGGTCCGTCACGATCAAAAAACGAGTGCAGGAAAGCATTCGATAGTAGCCTTACCTTACTTTCTGAGCGCCCGTTGTTTCCCAAAGTTACGTTCGACGAGGATAATATAGCGGTACGCCCGTTGGAAATTTTTTCCGATCTTTTTTTTTTTTTATCGGTATACACACGTCGACGAAGGGAAAAGGGTAATATGTTTTTATGGTTGTCGAGTTTATCCAATGTCGGGAGCTGAAACGTGATTTAATTTCGCCCTTTAATCACGGCCGATGACAGAAGGCTCCCATAAAACTGAGCGTCATCCTGAGACGAAACGTAGTTTTCTCCCTCTCTCCCGCCCCCTCCCTCTAGCGCGACCCGTTGGCTTTAAAAGACAAACCCTAAGTTCTTCTATCAGCGGCGGTCTATGTAAACTGAACTCTGTAACGAGTTTTCTCTGCGCCCAAATTGGCGTAAATCGAAATGAAGTTATCAACGATAGCAAAGTCATTTTAAAGTTAACCGTGTGACTTTGAAGTAGCGGTAGTACAATTAGCTAGGGAGATAATTAATTAGCAGGATATATATATTTATTACATTATTTTCGTACAAATTTTCAAATCTCTTCTAAGTTAAATCAATATAGATGTTGTATCTTATTCAGTGATATTAGCCGACTATCATTTAATACCGAACGCAAGTCGAGTAAATGTTTGGAAAGATACAAGCTTTAATCTTCCGACGACGTTGCATTTCTGTTTCCTAAATCCGCAACGCCAAAATTTCGGGTTTTATCCGCACGCAGCGCTCCACGTGTGACTTCCGCGACATCCCCATGATTTTCTTCACCGTCTTCTCTCCGTAGAACGAGTGCCCTCGAGATAAGGAAAATATTAACGAAAAAAACATCTCGAGAAAAAACAATCCTGTAGAATATAACCCGCGCATAGGGCGAGTGGGAAAAAAACCCGTAGGAGAAAAACTGAGAAAACAGAAACGGGTTAAAGGCGGGGCGACGACGGATGGTCGCCCCGGGGTGTTCTCGGTAAATCCTTACGCTCCTGGATGCCGCCCTTCCGCCCGATCAATATTGCGTTGGTGGGGCCGAGGTAGGATGGTCGGCCGCGAGGGGCGCTAGGGGGTTGTTGAGCCGCGGAGGGTTAAAACTGGGCGAGGGGGTAACGAGGGGGTGCGTCGTCGCGGTAGAACCGGCGGGATCGGCGGGTGCAGGGGGCGGACGAGGAGGCATGTGAGTATCAGGGGGTATCTGACGGCACGAGGGTAGGAGGGCGCGGCGGCGGTGGGGGTTGTTTAGGTGGGGACGACGGTGGAGAAGCTAACGCTGTCATGGCGCCGCGCAGCATCGCCAGGCAAGCGGTACCTCGGTGTACACCCTCGCGGCGCGTTACGTGTTCTTCAGGACTCCGCGATCGGCGGCGACGTGCGACCTGGTGAAATTCGCGGGTGACTGTGCGTCGTCGCGCACCCGCGCGTCAAGCCGTTCGACTCCGGGCGTCCGCGCGCCCTCGCAAGCGCGCTCCTCCACTCGTCGTCGCGTTCTCTTCGCGACCCCCGCCGCGGTACCCCGACACTGACGGCCGCCGACCGCCGACCGCCGTTGCGAAGACGCGGTTCCGACAAAACGTGGAAAAGCGGCTCGTGACTCGCGATACAAGAGAGTCCGCGAGCGGTGGTGAATCGCGTTGCGTCGGCGGCGGCGACAACGACGCGTTTTCCGCTTGTCACGCGTCGTCGGAGTGCACGCGATCCGACCAGCAGTGACGCGAGTGACGGCAGCGATCCACGGCGATCGTCGTCGCGGGGATCCATCGCGGCGGCGGTGGAGAGCGACACGCGCTCGACTGGCTCGCCCGCGCCGCCATCGATCGCGAAGGTCGAGGCTGAAGGTCGCGGATCGTCATCTCCGCGGGTTATCTACGCGCGTCCGCCGAAACTCAGTGATCCGACCTGACTTTATCCCGGCGACGTCGGTGCGCGCGCGCTCGCCCACGGAACCGTGGTTCCCGCACGAGCTCCCGGGTTGTTAGTGCCGCTGGTGTGTACCCTATACGGTGAATCGATGACAGACGAGAGGAGATCGTGGTGACAATCGGGACCCCGATACGCGATGTCGCGGTACAACCGGACACGTGACTGAGGCGGAGCAGCGGCGCGGGATCCGGCGAGGGAGCCTTCGCGAAGTTCTGATCGGGGCACCAACATCGGAGCGAAGATAGGCGGGGGTGGCCGCCGCGGGTGGATCGAGCTGGCAGCGGCTGGGTTTCGCCGCGACGTGCTACTAGGAATAACAATGTCCTAGCGAAGGCAGGATCTCGTCTCTAGGCCGATCCCCCTCATCCTGATCCACTTCTCTTCCAGAAACCTTCACACATACATACACATATCCCGTCGGTCCTGATCACCAACGCGCGCCGCGTGTGTATATATATATATATATATATATACATATACACCCGACCTATCATCATCGCGTCCTACACCCGCGCTCGTGCTGCTACAGATTCGACTGCACACACATATAATCGGCCCCAAGCGCGCGCGCACACATACGTATACGTACATAGACACGGTACACGGTATAGAGACGTACGTTCGTGTACGCGCGAGAGGAACGTAAAAGAAAGAGAGACTTACACCCACGCACAGACACACCGCTGTTTCGACGCCCCTCTCCCGCTGTGTCATCCTTTCCGTGTTTCGTTCTTTATCGTCGATAGTCCGACGTATCGTCGCGTCGCGACCTTTGCACGCAGGAAAACGTGGAAACCCGCGCGCGCGGGCGGACACCGGACACGGACACGTTATCTCGGAGACGGGCGCGCGAGCCTCCCGAATCCAGCCAAGTCCAAAGTCCTTAATCCCGTGGGGTGATCCTGGCCCCGCCCGTACGCGAAGGAACCACACCCCGGCGAGCGAGAGAGCGAGAGACCGCGAGGAGACCGGGAGGAGGAATTCAGGGTCCGGATTTAACAGGCTCCCGGTAAGCTCCCGGCATCAGCAGTCGATTCCTTTTCTTTTTTCTTCTCCGCGCGCATCTCCCTCTTTGCCCTTTCCACCCCGCGCCGCGAGACTCCCCATGACGATGCGACTCCAGGAGTAACCTTGCTCCCGGCACGACGACGCGACGGAGGGAAGGATGGCCAAGGGGCGAGACGGGGCGAGCACCGGCTTTCTCGACCTCGGCTCGCCTTTTCTCTCCCTCTGCCCTCCCTTTACCTCGCGCCGCCGTCTCGACTGTCCGGCCCGATAGTGCACATGGCCTCGTTCCATGCTGGATGCAGGTTGCAACCAGCGCGGTGGGGTCGGGCAGGTTAGGTTCGTCTGCGACACGACGGACGCGGGTTGGCGAGAAGGGTTGGCGAGGGTGAGGATAGGTCGTGATACATGCGCTCGGCCGATGAGGCCCGTGCGACCCAGCGGCTTGCGGGTAATTAGTACTAATTACGCGCGTGTAGAAGTCACCTGACTGCACACATGGCGGATCCTCACGAATGATCTCTACGAGGCCCCGAGATTCGTGTTCCCTTTGATCAGCGGAATGCACGTGCAGTAGCCCGCGAGTCGGTAAGATAATTATCCACGATCGAAGCGACGAGAGAAGCTGAGAGAGTCGGGGATACAAGACATTGATATCTAGGTGAAACGTGATTGTTGTTTAACGCATCTTTATTTGACGAACGTATTTTTTTTAAATACATTATTACGTGACTGCATTATTGCGTACATACGAACGAGGAAGAAATATAATACAACGTTGCAATTGTTAAGCGATATTAATTACGTCAATGGTACCGAAATCGATTTCTGCTTCACGCAGGCACGAACTGACGCGGGTTTCGTGCATCACGAGATTGCGATGTCTGGCCTCGAATTTAGCGGCAATACGAATTCCAAACATGCGCGCGATACGCATACACGCAACTGCTGTTACTGCTGCAGCTGGCAGTTGATGGAAGCAATTTTGGATTGATTTGTGCCTCGGCGTTGTTGCGATCCAGTCATAATTTCTGACAGCGTTGCGACCGCAGCGAGAACTGTCCGCGACAAACGAACGTTTCGAATTGCCGGAGTGTCTTGTAAATATCGACTGCGAATATGTAATCCGGGGAAAATGGCTTTTTACGAGATGGGAATTACAGACGCGATAACCCTTTGGGGCGGAGATGTAAATCGCGCTCGCGTTATTGCGCTTGGTAAATAAACATTTCTCCTAATTGTCCGCATTTCGCAAAAATATTCGCACACGTATGGGAATATCGAAGGCGAAAGAGAAATAAAGTAGAATAGATAAAAAATTATTTTTTTATAACGAGATTAAAGGATAACGAAGTAGGTGACACGTTGACGCAATGTCGTTTGGTACATTCAGCGGCGCGAATAACATTTAAATAACATATACGCTGGAGAAAAATATATATTACATGACTGCTCTTGTACGTGTAAAATGTAATGCAGACAGACGCGTTTACGTGTAAAATATAATGCAAAATGCTCTTCATTGAAATGAATTACGAGCGTAGTAACAAATATTGACGGATAGTCACGCCCCGACTGGAAGAGAACAAATTATTCCCCCACAGTCATTGACTTTATAATCATTTTCGTGCTTGGCCAGTCAATTTCTGTTCTTAAAAATAAAAAAAGAAGCAGTAATTAAAATTTTCTAGCGCGCCATTGTTGCCATTGGTGGTCGGAGCCAGTTTGCCCAAGATCCTGGTTCCTCTCGATAGACCTTTCGAGAGCCTTCGCCCTTCGCGACTGTTGAATCTCTCGCAGATTAAAAATCCTGTAGCGCGATCTATATATATATCGATCAAGATCGACGATGTGGCGCCACAGACTGTCCCGACGGCGATTTTATTGCCTCTTTGATGTTACTAACCTAGGAAATGTACGAAGGGCAGGTTCACGGTTCAGTAACCCTACAGAGCCAATCACGCGCGGAATAGATTCGCCGACCTGGAATACAATTTACAAACTCTGAAAGCATGAACTTGCTATAATTTATGTATCATGCGTCGATTTTTCCTACCGCTCGTTTATTTACGAATATATTAAAATCCATCTCGAGGATTACCGAAGCATACAAAGTTACGATTCAATCGTAACGTTTATATCTGCATCTTGTATACTCCCTATTGCAGTATTCAGGCCGAAGATAATTTCTTTGATGTGCGAGAGAATTTACAGTAAATCTTAATGACAACATAGTAAACAGTACAGTGTTGTTGGTCACTCTACAATGATTTGGCCACAACTTAAAAAATTAAAGATTATAAAAAAATACTATTAAAATATTTTTAATTATAAATACAAAAATATTTTTTTACAATTATTATTTTTTTATAATTAAAAACATTTTAATAGTATTTCTTTATAATCTTTAATTTTTTAAAATGTGACCAATCTTTGTAGAGTGACCAACAACTGTACTGTTTATCTATATAATCTGACATCATTTTCGTTTTATTAAAGGATATAAAAGAATCCGATGTGAGGATTTTTATATATTATACGCGATGAATGCAATACGTCGACAATTCGAGCCTTTATGATGGGAGAAGACGAGATACGCGTACTCGCCACGCTGGTCAAGTTAATTTTCTTCCGATGTAAGCAGGTAAAAGCCGCGCCGCGATGCGGAGCAGAGGAATCCCCTTGTGGCTCGTCCTTGTCAGAAATGAGTCGGTGTTGCGGAGAAACGACCAGTTAGACGAACATTAGTCTTCGCTCGACAGCGGCCCCAACCGATCGGTTGGCCAGCAAAACCTATGTATAGAATTGGGTTAAGGGGCTGGCGGAACGAAGGAGAGCCCAGCCGTGCACAGAACCGCGGCGGGTGGAAGTTCGGCGATTTCTTGTAATTGAATCTACCGCGACCCATCGGCCAGTTATTGTTTCTGCCCATATTCCGTTCGTTGGCTCTTCTACGCCAACCGGTCGGGCGTAATAATTTTTACAGGACACGTAATCAGAAGTATCGGGAATCTCGTGAGATACTTTCGCGGGGTGTGCTTTTGAGACGGACGGAAAAATCACTACGATTACGCGGGTCCTTTGTTCTACGACGGAGTTTATCTAATTAGCGACTGGACTTTTGAAAAGGCGCTTTGCGCGGAGCTTTGTAAAAATGTATAGGATAAAGCGCATGAACGTGGAAAGTGTATCGCGGTGTTTGAAAATCGCTTATTCAATAAAATTCTGGAACAGGGTACATGTACGTCATGTACATACGTGTGCGTGCGCACACGCGAGCGGTGTCTTATCGGGACTGCAGTTTCGATCGGGCATTAATATTCATCCGCACGAACAAGAATACAACTATTTTTCGCGCGCGCGTTCGAGGACTTTTCTTTTTTTTTTATTCTCCCGTCAATTGTATCGTAACTAAACGTTTACAGAGTCGCGTGGGTGGGCGCGAAGAGGAAAAAAATGCATTGTTGCTCGCAGCAGCCGCGAATAGCCCTCCGTTTTATCGCAATCCTCCTCCTCCTCCCCTCCCTTCCTGTTTCTCTCCGCCGAATTCTCGTTTAATCTCACTTGACCCGCTGGAACTGTCGAAATTCTCGACGCTAACGGACACTAACACTGTTGCCCCACTAGGAGGCGGTGCTCTGCAATCAGTTTTGGATCGTTTCACACGAGTTATACTCGCGACGATACTGCGGAGCGATATTGGTTTCTCTCGTTTCGTTTCCGAGATTGACGTTTTGAGGAGTTGCAAAATTTATCAATTCTTCACGTAGCACGCGAAATAACCGTTCATTTGTTATTATTCGAATACGGCGTGTTCGATTATTCTCGATAAAATCGAGCTGCACCCACAAGATTGCAGATGCAACTGCAACTGTTCATCGAGTTTGATCTTAAAGGCGGCATATCGCCGATTCATATTCGGAGCACATCGTAATGGCGGCACGATTGTCGTTTCGCTTTGCTTTCGAGGCGTTTAGCTATATACACAGTACCCCCGATATCGACGCGAGAAGCGCCTAGAAAGGGCGCTTGCACATGCCACGGCCGATACCTTTCGAACACGAAGCATCGCGTGCCGGAACACGTCCGCGTTTCGTTCAAACGCGCCGATCTCGGCGGAGCAATTAAGCTGCTTTATTGTCGAACGAATGGGAAAAAAAAGCGCGGAAAAAAAGCGCGAGATAGCGAGAGCGCGGCGCGGATTAAAGCGCTTTTTCACGTGCCGCTGGCCGACAAGCGCGGGATCTCTGTATTAACGAGAGGAAGGCCCCAGCAACGTGTCGCGCTTCCGCCATTAACGACCATCGCTTTGGACATCGAGCGCGATATTTAATCGCGGCTCCGACGTCAGCGTCATTTTTATCGGCCCGAGCTTTTGTTTTTTTTTCCCGTCCTTCCCCCTCCATCCCTCTTTTTCACGGGATAAAGTGCGAGTTTAGCGGCACCGGTCGGTTGATCGGGGCGAGGGGGGGGGGGTGGATTGTTGCATCTCCGCGGTGCATCATCGCCGGTGTATTTGTGTATTGTCGGCGTTAAAGCCGGGATGGCAGTGCGACGCGTATATGACAACGAAGTATTATGTCAGACCGACGTGAGAGAGATGACACACTCAGCACCGCCGCGAACGAGCAAATTTCTCTGACCATTCCTTTTTCCTCTTTTTTTTTACGAGAACTGCCTTGCCAGTTCAGAGCGAATAAGCTCACAGAGGGAGGTTGATCGACACCGGTTGCCGAAATTGCGGTGGCGCGTCTGTCCGTCCGTCCGTTCGTTCGTTCGTTCATTCGTTCGTTCGTTCGTTCGTTCGTTCGACCAGGCCCAGGCTCGTTAAACTGCGAAACTGGCAAAATTTCTGCAACGCGGCTCGCGCGAAACGAACGCGGAATAACGAATGCAGTTTGCCTTCACCCGCACAGTTGCATCGGCTGAGTTATCGCGTGCTGTTTAAATGTTAAAAATTATGCATCAGAGCGATGTCTGGGTTCGGGCGCGATAGGAATTTGT